ATTATCCTAATTATATTTTAGATTTTTTATATTTAAAATGAGATGTTTATTCTGTATTTGATTATGTTTATCTGCAGTTAGTTACACGAATTAAAATATAGAGCTTTAATAAGTTGTATTAATGCACAATCTACTTGTAATCTTGAGTTTTAAGTAATATACATTAATAAACAGTACTTTACGCATAAAAAGTGGTTTTTAAGAGTTTTTGTTAAATGTTTATAATATAGTATAGATTACGCATTAAATAATTTTGAGACCTGTAAATTATTTGCATTCTCGTAAAACAAGAGTGTTCTCGTTTGAACCTCCACATCTCTCTCTCTCTCTCTCTTTCTCTCTCTCTCTCTCTCTCTCTATATATATATATATATATATATATATATATATCGGGGGCTGGTTCAAATGTTAACCAAGATTATTGTGTTAACTTTGTTAACCAATCTTGGCCATTGATTCTTACGATAAACGGTTGTGATTAATCATGATAAAAAGTTAATTTTTTAAATTTACAATTTCAAAAAACATATGTGAACAAAGGGGAAAAAATGTATTTAGGTAATTTTTTTATGTAATTTTCATATCATTAATTGGGAGTTACAAAATCAAAAAACCTCATTCTTTTTATTAATGTAAGAACTATATAAATGTGTATATATATAGACATATGAACAACATGTGAACCGTATGAACATCTTCTGTATATTCAGGAGCCAACTCTGCTGTATGTACATGAACACGTATGAACCAAGGCATCTAGGGTTGTGTGTTTTCATACGTGCTCACATGTCTTCACATGTTCTCTCTCTGTGTGTGTATATGGATTCATATGAACATCTAGTGACTTGAATAGACATGAACACTTATGAATCACGACATCTAAGGCTGTGTGATTTATGATGTGTTCATATGTCTGTGTGTGTCCCTATATCTTCATTTGTCTTCATATGAACATCCAATGCACTGTGTGTTAACTTCATATTTCTTCATATGAATATCTAATGCAGTGTGTGTTAACTTCATATGTCTTCACCTGTAAACTGATTGAATCTCTTAATAGAACCAACTCTTGAATATACAGAAGCTGTTCAACAGGTCAGTTGCAGTCACCTTTTTTGCATGATAAGTGAGAACTGTCAAAGATGAGAATTATCGATTAAAACGTATGCAATATCATATTAATCCATTACCAACACAAACGTTTGATCATCGTCTTCACTTCCGGAACTCGAAGTTCGATTGTCATCATAAACCATTTTAACCTTCTCATTCCTATTGTTGTCGATCTGTTTTCCAATGGATTTATCCATATTAGCTTGGACGATATCAAAAACTTTATTATCGGAAATCTTTTAACAGTCACAAATTCAATAACATTATAGATAGATAAATCAAACTTCAAAAACAATCACAAATTGAAAAACAAGATCAATATTAAATCATCATCAATTATGATATTTTTAGATTTTGTAACTCCCAAATAATAATATGGGAGTTACACAAAATGGTAAAATTACTTTATTACCCTTGTCATTAACATATGAGATGTATGTGAACCTAATAAAAAGATTGATTTTCATTAGTTGAGCTTGGTTAACAGAGTTAACACAATAATCTTGGTTAACATTTGAACCAAACTCTCTCTCTCTCTTTCTATATATATATATATATATATATATATATATATTTTTTTTTTTTGATTGTTAAAATCATTAAACTTGGGTAAGCTACATTTAGCCAAACACCATTTCACGTTTTCAATAACATCAATCCGCCCTTTATATACACATCTTCATTTTCTAAACTTCACTCTTGCTACTAATGTTTGACTACCTAAACAATACAACTATTTCAACTATCATAAAAGCTAATCCTTAAAAAATCAAAATTTTAAGAAAAAAGATAAATAACAGTGGAGGCTTCTCATTGATTCGATTAGTGTTACTTTATATATATATATATTGATTCAATAAGATTAAGTAATAAGATAAACATATAGACTATGGAGTATACACTTGCCATTTTTGAAGAATGGGATTTCCTTCCATTATACAAGAAGTCAAAAGACCCCTAAGTTTTAGTTTTTGGAGAAATTTCCAAAAAAAAAAAAAACACAATAAAATTTAATGTTTGGAATGATTAAGTATTGGACAATTTTTTGGAACAAGTAAGTTATTCGACATTTCAAAACCTGTTAAATAACT